GTTAATAGTTTGTCTTATAGTTAGCTAAAAAACTTAAGGCCTATTATTACTAAAACAGAAAAAAAAATAGATTACTGGGATTTACTTCTGAACTTGACATAACATCTGGGTGCCCCCCCCCCCAATCCTCAAATAGTTTACTCTTTAACCTTCAGTTTGGCAGGAGTCGTGGTTATTTTTGGAGTATAGGCAGTAGAGCTAATCTAAACTCCTCAAGCAACCTGAAACAGTGACCTCATCAGCTCTTTCAGCTGAGCATGGCTTGTTCTGGATCATATTTTACGTGTTACTTGACCAGAGAGGAAACAATGGAGTTTAGGGGTACATAATGCATTGAAAAATGGAAAAGATGCTTAGGGCCTGAATCAAAATGTATTTATCTTGTTCAATGGAAGAGATTCTGCAGTGGCTATGATATTAAAATTGTAGGGCACAGTTACTGTGTCTCTACTTGTCTTAGTTTGGACAGTATCTTAAGATGACTCAGGCTGCTAGAACAAAATACCAGCAGAACTTAATTTTCTTATTATTCTATAGGGTAAAGTCTAAGAGTAATGTACCAGTATGGATGGTTTCTGGTCATGGATGTCTTTTAGTTTATAGAGATCTATCTGCCTCTTCACTGTATCCTCACATGCTAGAGAGAAAGGGAGAAATAAAGAACTCTGCTTCTTACAAAGGTAACAATCCTGTTCCTTTTATATATACATACATACATACAAATATACATACATAATGCCAGTGGTTACTATAGTTTCTGCACTAGAGTTGTAGAGTTGAATTTGGTTATATTTATTTATTTATTTATTTATTTTTTGAGACAGGGTTTCTCTGTATTGTTTTAGAGCCTGTCCTGGAAGTCACCTCTTTAGACCAGGCTGGCCTAGAACTCACAGAGATCCACCTGCCTCTGTCTCCCTAGTGCTGGGATTAAAAGCAAGCACCACCAACACTTGGCAAAGTTATATTTAATTTTAAATGATTCAGAATTATAGCTTCTCTCAATTGTAGTTATATTGTAATTACTTTTTTGTGTGTGTGTGTGTATGTATGTATGTGCATGTGCACATACTTGCATGTACAAGTATGCCACTGCATTCATGTTGGGTGTCCTCATGCATCTCAAGTGGCTGTCCTCACTTTTCACCTGTCTGTGGTTGGGTCTTTGCGCCTGTGTATACTAGGCTAACTAGACTGCAAGTTTCTGGGAATTCTCTTGTTTCTAGCTCCCATCTTTCCTATGAACACTGCAGTGACAGATGTGAGCTGGACCATATTTTGCTTTTCTGTGGCACCTGAGAATTTGAACTCATCCTTAATGCTTGTGTGGCAAGCACTTTTTTTTTTTTTTTTTTACCCACTAAACTATCTCCTCAGCCCCTAATTACATGATTCTCTAGAGAAATAGTTCCCCAAAAGGGTATTTATAATATCATTAAAGGATATGTAAGATGATCCAGTGGTGTATAGAAAAAGAATGTTGAATATTTATTTGGCATATATTCTAGAAAAAAGTACCTTTTTAAAATTATTACATTTTTCTTATTTTGTGTGTGTGCCATGGTGCATGTGTGAACTCTGAGGACAATTTGTTGGAGTTCATTTTCCTTCCACCACATAAATCCCAGGCATCAAACTCAGATTTGCAGGCTTGGTGCCAGGTCAGGTATGTTACTACTAAGCTATCTTGCTAGCCCTATTACATATTTTTTTAAATTATTTTTATTTTATTATTGTGTATATGGGCGCCTGTGGAGGCCAGAAGAGGGCATCCTGTTCCTTAGTACTAGAGTTACACAGACTATTGTGAGCAGCAATGTGGGTCTTGGGGAATTGAACCTGAGTCCTCTGAAAGAACAGGAAGTGCTCTTAAGCTCTGAGCCATCTTTTCAGCTCCCCTATTTTTGCACTTTTGAGCTAGGGTCATATTATGTAGCTTTGGCTGGCTGTTACTCAGTATGTAGCCCAAGTTGACCTCTAACTCTTGGCAGCTCTCTTGCCTCAGCCTGTCAAGTGCTGGGATTACAAAGGTGTGTTTGGCTAGCCTTACTATTTAATGCAGTCTGATTGTATATGTACACATAAATATTGGGGTAGATACCCAAAGTTTACATTGAAGTTCACGAATAAAATTTTGATCACTGTTCCTTTCTGCAGAGGTTTTAACATAAAATTCTACTAATGTATAACACCTTCGGAATAGCTACATGTTGAATATCCCTTCCTTCCATAAAGTGTGCTGCAGGACCAGAATTATTTTACATTTCAGTTTTTCAGATTAGCGTTTGTTGTTGCAGTATTGGGCATTGAACCCAGGGCCTCATGTGTGCTGGCCAAGCACTCTGTTAAACCATACTTTAAGCCCAGATTTGGGAATATTTGCATACAAACAATGTGAACATCTGAAATGTTCTAAAATTTGAAACTGACTGAGGATCATGGTAATTCTCAGAAAGTTTCACAATTTGGGGGCACGAAGTCTTTTTGTTTATGGTTTCTTATTGTTTTCTTTGAGGACAGGGTCTCATGTAGCACACACCAACTTTGAACTTGCTATGTGTCCAAGGATAAACTTGAACTCATAGGCCTTCCTTTACTTAAGAGCTGGGACTATAGGCATTTGTTACCATATCCAGCTTTCTATTTTATAGATGAAAGAAGCAAAGTCTAGTGGGCTCATCGAGGTGCAGTGCATGAACAGCTTCTCTCATTTGCTGGGATCTAGAACTGCTACTTTTTAGTCTGGGACTGATTTTGCTCAGTTTTTATTTTTAGAAACTGCTATGGTTTGCATAAGCATTCACAGGTTTTTATGTTTCTGACTTACTAATAAGGTCTATCAACTTATCTCAAAGAAGATCCCTTTTTGAAAGAAACTTAAGCCATTTTCTCTCCCGAAAGACTATCCTGTGAACTCTGGAAATGAGGTGAACATCATGTCTCTCTTGTCCCCACTTCTCAGGACAGGGCATAGAGGCTGGCCAAGCCTTTTCTAGAGCAATATGACAAGTTAACACATTCCCAGCCCCCCCAGAGAGGATGCTCTTTAGTTATGAGAAAGGTTTTTGGTAGCTGCTGTTTTATAGTCTGAAATGAATAATGGTGGGATGAGGGTGTGGTGTGGTAGACAGTTTAATTCTAGAAATGGAAGAATAGATCAGTTACTTCTAACTTACCATGATACAGTGGTCTGCTTTATGACCAGTAATGAAATTACCTATTTTACAGGACTTTTACAATAATGTAATTAACTTTAAACCTGTAGATTCAGGCTTGAGGAGATTACTGAGATGCTGAAGAATATAAATAGTGACTAATGAAGACAAACCAAGTGCTGTGTGAGAAATGCTTTATCAAAATACATCCAAATAGGGTGGGAGAGGTGGCTCAGAGGTTAAGAGCACTTACTTGACTTGGAGAGGACTTGGGCTCATTTCTCAGCACCTGCATGGTGGCTCACAAACTATCTCTTCTGACCTCAGACACTAGGCCTATATGTGGTATACATACATACATGCATGTAAAGAAACCTCATTCATAAACCTTTGTTTTAAAATTAAGACACATCAAAGGAGGGAAAATAAGCTAGCTGTTGTGGCTCACAGTTGTGGCCCTAGCTTTGGGGAATCTGAGGCAGAAAGGTCCCCATGGATTTGAGACTTACCCTGAGTGAAGTACAGAGTGGTGAGACCCTGTCTCAAACAAAATTAAACCAAATAGACAAGAGTGAGAGGAAGAAGTAATTTGCTCTGGAAATAGCTTTTATACAGCTATTCACACCCTGTGTTGGCACTGTCTATTGTTTGCAGTATTTCTACTTCTCCACTATGGTCTGCTACAAGCATTCTTTGGGCAGCTGCCTCTTCAGAGGGCAGTTTTTGTGAAATAGCATAGGTTTCTGTAAAAGGGAGAAGTAGAGGGTGAGGATAAGGATGGGCTTCTAAGATAATTGTTAAGGAAATGAAAGGGCTCTTGAAAGATTGGAGGACGGTGCCTGGATGTTCGGTCTTAGGTCATAATCATACTTTGTCTTTTACCACTGCCTTTTGTTCAAGACACTGAAAGGGCTAAACAAAACTCTGGCCTGAATAATATTATTCTTTGCTCTTTGGAATTTGTAGGAGGTGGCAGTAAGGTCCTGGAGAGGGGTGGGAATGTTATATAAGCATTAAAGAAATAAGATACATTCCCTAGTTCTAGTTAGGGTTTTGCTACAGAGGTAAGTCTGGTGAAAATTAGTAGAATTAGCTGAAGTAATGTTTGCCACTATGTAAAATGAGCTAAGATGGTTTAGTGGCAATTCTCTCTCTTTCACATACCTTCGTATGGCCAATATAGCACTCACAGAGATCCGTTTGCCTCTGCCTCCCAAGAACTGGGATCAAAGGTGTGGGTCAGTCGGCCTGCTTATAATCTTATGTGTCTTTGCTTATAATAGGCTTGACACTGCATCCAAATGACCAAAGGTTAGGTTGCTTTGCAAGGGCTTGATTTCTACTATTTGTGCGGAAACAAGATTCAGAATCTTGACTCATGTATTCATTTTGTGGAAACAAATGTTTCACAGAGTTTGTGGAAACAAGTGTTACTAACAGTGGGAAATCTTGCTTAGAGAGCAGTCAGTGCTGAAGGTAGTTTTGTGTTAATTAATTTGAGGTTCTTAGATAGCAGCTTGTTATTAGATTTGTGTTTGCGGTTTCAAGTTTTATCTCAGTTCCTTCTTTCCCATGTGGAAAAATATAACACTGTCAGCTACTGAAGAAAGAAGGGAAAGAGTTGACAGTTAGCCTCCCCCCCCACTCCAAAGTATGTCTCTTTATGGAATTACATACAGGGAGGCATGGGTGGGGGTTAGCTACTGAATAGTTAATATTGTGTACCCATACAAAAGATTGATTCTTATGGTAAACCTATGAATTGTTAAATATCCTTGTCTATTTTATTTATTGTCTTTTTCAGGGGCTTTTCTAATTATTTTATTTCTTTTTTCCCAAATCCAGGCTGGATACAGCAAATATCATTTTCAAGATGTCCAGCAAAGGGAGCAGCACAGATGGCATAACAGATTTAGTTAATGGTAAGGGACCAAAGGTGAAACTCTTTACTGTCACTTGAGGCCTCTCCCCTCGCTAAGGGAGAGTGGAGACCTGGATTTAGTGGGACAAAGGAGACCTTTGTATGTTGTTTGAGTATGAGAAAAGCACACAGCCATTATCTTGGATTGCCTGGTACTTTTGCTCTTTCAAATTGTATCTGTTGTTTTCAGAAGATGAATGCAGAGATGCTTCTTTCTTTTTTTAATTTTTGTGTTGTATATGCTTTTTTTGTCTGTTTGACTGTCTGTGCACCACTTTTGTTTTGTGCCTGGTGCCTGCAGAGGCCAGAAGAGGGCATTAGATCCTTGTACTGGAGTTACAGATAGTTGTGAACTACCATGTGGATGCTGGGTCCTCTGAAAGAGCAGCTGGTACTCTTAGCTGCCTGAACCTTCCCTCTAACCCCAGAGATACAGTGACCTTTTGGTAAAGTGGTTTGGACTTTTGAAAGCCTGTTTACAGAAGGGCGTACTTAAGAAATATTACTAAAAAGAAAAGTAAGGTAGAGGGAGTTTCAGGGAAGACTTAATTGAAAAGTCTGTTTCTATGGTAGATAATAGTTTCAGAGTGATAAGAAATCAAGTTACTGATCTGGGAGTGTGCCTCAATGATAGAGTCCATGAGGCCCTTGGTTCAGTCACCAGTGCCAAAAGGAGGAGGAGAGGTAGAGAGAGAAAAGTTAAAACCAAAACTATCCAAAATCAGGTCTTCCTTACCTCCCTTTAACATTGGGCTTAATTCAAAGGGACAGGAGTCTAGAGAAATTTTTGGTATTTGTGTGTGTGTGTAGATGCCAGGTGGGCATAGTGTGGCCACATGTAATTCCAGTGCTCAGAAAGTGGAGACAGGAGAGGTCCCTAAACAAGCTACCCAGCTAGATTAACTGTATCAATAAGCTCTGGGTTCAGTTGACAGACTATTTCAGTAAGGTGGAAAGTGATGAGTGAGACGCCTGATGTCAACCTTAGGCCTCTGCTGTGTGTCCTACACCCCCCTGCAAACATAGCACATAGTCACATGCAAACACCACACACAGTAGAAAAGGGTTCACCAATCACAGTCATACCCCTTTATGTAGTGTTTGAGTTGCTTTTGTACAAGTGAGATTCAGTAGTTAAGGTAGTGATCAATGGTCTTTAACTTAGACCATCTGGGTCTGTACAGGAAAAAAAAAAAAAATCTAGATCCTAAAGTAGATTTTGGTCAATGACTACTAAGCCCTTCTTCAAGCATGTGATTGATATATATATATATATATATATATATATATACACACACACACACACACACATACATACTCTGTCCCTTATATTAATGTGCTACCACCTTCACAGTCTAAATTTGTTAATCACAACTTTTAAAGTTTTATATTCCATTTATTTAGTGTTCAAGGGTGCCCATCCTTTAGTAGAATCAGGTTCCCCTCTATCCTGTGAGTCCTGGAGATCAAAATTTGTGTTGTCAGGCTTCATGACAAATGCTTCTACCTGGTGGACCATCTTGCTGGCCCTTGTTAATCATAATTTTCACAGTAAATTCCAGGAGTTTGCATCTAGGGCTCTGTTATGTGTTGTGTGCAGGAATATAGTATTAGGCATTTAACCTGGAACCTTGTACATACCAAATAGGTACTCTACCATTGAACTGTACCTTCAGCTCTAGGTATGCTTTTATCCCTTCTAGCCAACCCCAAGCTTAAGCCCAGCTGCATTTAAACACATCTGTTATACTTAATCAGCATATGTAATTCTCAGATCTGCTTTCTAGTTCACACACACACACACACACACACACAGACCCTTTACTTTCTTCTACCTCCTAGCCCAGTTTTCTGAGACAGAATCTTTGTGAGTTTGAGGCCAATGTGGGCTACATAATGAGACCATATCTAAAACCAAGATAACTAATTGAAGTAAATTAAAATACATTTGCTAGAAAGGGGCAAGTGAAAATCTGTGCTAAGTGATCATAATGATCAACATCAACTTAAAGACTGACTAGCACTATAGCTCAGTGGATAAAGTTGTTTGCCACCTACCTGGTTGATGCCTGAGTTTGATCCTGGAGCACACATGGTTGAAGGAAGAAACTCACACCTTTAAGTTGTCCTTTTATAGCCACATGTTCATTGTGGCACACCCCCCCCCCCCATAAATTAATGTCATAGTAATAAAAAGTCTTTAAGGGAGAAAGTTAGCACGAAAGCAGGTGTGGGAAGTGGCATGAGCCACTGTGCTTTTTGTCAGTTACCATCTTCTCATTAAACGATGGCTAGCTGTGTTAGTTCTTGCTGAGGTATTTTTTCTTATTGATTATTTTCAATTTAAATAGTGCCTTGTTAGCTGGGCATTGGTTAGCTGGGCATTGGTGGCCAAAATCTTTAATTCCAGCACTTGGGAGGCAGAGGCAAGTGGATCTCTGAGTTTGAGTCCAGCCTAGTCTACAGAGCTAGTTCCAGGACAGGCTCCAAAGTAAAAGCAATACAGAGAAACCTTGTCTGGGAAAACAAAAAAAGAAAGAAAGAAATGGTGCCTTGTTATTGCTGGAGATTTTAAAATTGTTTTCTGTAATCAGTATATGCCTGTCAAACAGAGCATAGCCTAATACCAGGTGTGGTGGTGTATGCCTGTGATCTCAGCATTCAGAAAGTAAATGAGAATTTCCACAATTAGAGATCAGTCTGCTTTATTTACATAATGAGTTCCAGGCCAGGGTTATATTGGGAGATCATGTCTCAAACAGAGGGCACAATCTAAGGTAGTTGCATAAGACACACACTTTTTTTTTTTTTTTCCTGAGACAGGGTTTCTCTGTGTACCAGCTCTGGCTGTCCTGGAAAACTCTTTGTAGACTGGTTAGCTTTGAACTCACAAAGACTGTCTTGGCTTCTCAAGTGTTAGGATTACAGGCATGAATGCCTCTGCTTCCCAAGTGCTGGGATTAAAGGAGTGCATCGCTACCACCTGGCCACACTGCTGTTTTCCTTGTTTTGTTTTTTAATTAAGATTTATTCTCTCTCTCTCTCTCTCTCTCTCTCTCTCTCTCTGTGTGTGTGTGTGTGCGCGTGTGCGCGTGCACGCGCACGCGCGCGCACACACACACACACATTTTTGTGAGACAGGGTTTCTCTGTGTAGCTCTACTGTCCTGGAACTTCGTAGACCAAGCTGGCTTCAACCTCAGAGATCCACCTGTCTCTGCTTCCCAAGTGCTGGGGTTAAAGGCATGCACCACCATCACCTGACCAAAAGTTTACTCTTAACAGTTTCATGCATGAATAAAATATATCATGATCATATCCACCCGCATTTTCCCCCATTCCCTTTGAACTCCTCTCGTATGTTCTCCCCAACCTTCATGCTGTCATTGTGTGTTTTTTTCTTTTTTCTTTTCTTTTTTTTTTTAATAACACATTAAATTTAGTTTGTGCTTCTAGCAGTCACATGGTTGGGAGACCATCCACAGGAGCATGGGTAATCTACCAGTTGCCATGCTGATGAAGAGCGTGGTTTCCAATCAGTTTCCAAAAAGCTCCTTAGTCGGGGTAGGGCTTCTCGAGCCCTCACCTGTCTATGCTGGAGTGCTAACTGACTTGTTCTTTTGCAGGTTATGTGCAGGAAACCACAGCTGCTGTGAGAACAGTTTTCAACACACCTCTCCATTCTCCAGCTGTTACATTCTTTCTGCCCCTTCTTTTGTGATAGATACTTCCTGAGCCTTGGCAGTTGATAATTGTCCTATTTATGATTGAGCACTACATAGTCATTTATTCTTAGCACTTTGGCCAACAAGTCTCTGTATTAACCATTGCTCGCTGAAAAAAGGAACACCTATCTCTGAATATAAACACAGATATTTAGAAAGCAGTTTAACATGCTGACTTAGCAAAACAACAATAGGTTTCACCTGTGGACTTCTGTAGCCATGAGCTTTTGAATCCCCCCCCCTTTTTTTTTTTTTTTTTTTTTTTTTTTTTTTGTTTGTTTGTTTGTTTTGTTTTTCTGAGACAGGGTTTCTCTGTGTACCCTGAGCAATCTCAGAAAGCAATTGGCTATTCAAGTGACAGCCATGCCACTATTGCATCAGTGAGCCTGTGGGCAGGGTGTAGCATACAGGTTCCAAAGTTGGGTAAGTGTTAGTGGCTTGTTTGCATTTTGTTTGTTTTGTTGTTGTTTTGAGTAAGGGTCTCACTGTGTACTCATGCCTGACCTGGAGCTCATGATGTAGATCAGGCTGGCCTCAAACACAAGAGATCCGTCTGCCTCTGCATCCTAAGTGCCGAAATTAAAGGTGTATACTACCATGCCTGGCTGTTGGTATATTTTCAAAAAGGGGGGTAGGGTAGTTACTGTATTTTATGTATATGGATGTTTTGCTCGAATGATGTCAGTGCACCATGCACCTGCAGTGTCTGAAGTGCAAAGACTTGTACATACAGTGCCTGAAAGTCTTCCTGATCCCCTTCCTAACTATTTTTCTTTTGTATCTATGCATTAATGTCCAGGAAGCCTGTCTAGCAGTCCAGAAGAGATGTCTGGAGCTGAAGAGGGGAGGGAAACATCCTCAGGTATTGAAGTAGAGGCCTCAGACCTGAGTTTGAGTTTGACTGGGGATGATGGTGGCCCCAACCGCACCAGCACAGAAAGTCGAGGCACAGACACAGAGAGCTCAGGTGAAGAAAAGGACTCTGACAGCATGGAGGACACTGGTCATTACTCCATCAATGATGACAGCCGAGTCCATGACCACTCAGAAGAAGAGGAAGAGGAACAACCTCGGCACCGAGTACAGCGCAAACGGGCCAGCCGTGATCAGGACTCCTCAGATGATGAACGAGCCCTGGAAGACTGGGTATCCTCAGAGACAACAGCTTTGCCCCGACCTCGCTGGAAAGCCCTTCCTGCCCTTCGGGAGCGGGAGCTGGGTTCAAGTGCCCGTTTTGTGTATGAGGCTTGTGGGGCAAGAGTCTTTGTACAGCGTTTCCGCCTGCAACATGGGCTTGAGGGCCATACTGGTTGTGTCAATACCTTGCACTTTAACCAGCGTGGGACCTGGCTGGCCAGTGGCAGTGATGACTTGAAGGTGGTGGTGTGGGATTGGGTGAGACGGCAACCAGTACTGGACTTTGAGAGTGGCCACAAAAGTAATGTCTTCCAGGTAAGACAAAGAGACATCATAGTAACTTGAGAAAATGAAGTGTGAGGGTAGACAAAATTGAGTTGCTGCCAAGAACAGAAGCTAGTAGCAAGCTGTGATTGGAATTAGATATCAGGACTCGATTGAGCCATAGACTCCATAATGATACACTGAGAGACCCATGGCAGCCTTTTGTTTCCTTGTACATAAGGACAATTGTACAAGTTATCCATATGGATAGGAAACTTAAAATAGGTGTATCGATACAAGGCAGTGTAGTAAAGTGCACAGACTCTTGAACCAAACTGCTTGGTTTCCAAATCCTAGCCCTATGTAAGTTTGAACAATTACCTAACTTGAAGTTTATGTAGCTATGAAATAGGGTTTGTAACAACTTATCAGAACTAAGTAACAGCTCAGTAGTAGGTACTTGCTAAGACTCTGAGTTCTTTTTCCCGTCCTCAAGAAAAAGAAAACAAGGGGAGCTGAATACTTAGATTCATGGCTGGTATTTAATCACATTTGATAAAATTTGGCTAATAGTGATTATTCCATGGAGCTATTACACCTTTCCATATTGTCCCATTGTCTATACTGGTACTAGCCATTCATCCATAAGCATGTCCTTTTTCCTTCTTTCCAGGTTCCTTTCCTTTTGTGGCAGATTTATGTTTGTTTGGTAAATGAAGATTTGTCCTTGCTTATTCCTTGCTTTATTCCCCTGTAAGACACAATTGCAATTTTCCAGTGTTTAGTTATGTTGGGTTCATCCTTCCAGAGCCATCCAGAATGTACTTTTATGTCAGAATGACTTCCTTTCTCTTCCTTTTACTTTACCTCTGAAAGGATTTGGGCTAAGCTATCTGTACAGACAGTAGGAAAGGCACATCCAGCTGCACAAGGAAAGGGTGACAAGGGGCCATCAACACATTTTTCTCTTGTTTCCTCTTTAATTATTTTGTGTCCCTTTTTCATTTTTACATCTTCAGGCCAAGTTCCTTCCTAACAGTGGTGATTCCACCCTGGCTATGTGTGCCAGGGATGGGCAGGTCCGTGTAGCAGAATTGTCTGCTACACAGTGCTGCAAGAACACAAAGCGTGTGGCCCAGCACAAAGGAGCATCCCACAAGGTAAGTAAGCCTTTGTTCCCAGATTGTGAATTCATGTCTGTAGTTAGGTATCTACCTGTTGCACTGACCATGCCCATTTGGTCACAGTCACGGGTGTGGATGTGTTTGGGGCAGGGGTCCCCGCTAGGTCTGGGTGACATCCATGGACCGGGAACCCATGGCAGTTACCTGTTTCATGTGTAAGTGAATTCTCCCGGAATAAAACTTACTTAACCTATACTGAGTCCAGTGAATCTTAATTCCCACTCACATATCCTCTGTGGATCTCAGTGTTTTCACTTGTGTTCCCTGTATTGTCTTCACCTGCCTTACTTCATTCAGCCCCTAGATTTATTTGTTAACAGCTGTCCTAAAGTTCCTAAAAACCAGTATTTCAGATAGTTACTGTTTTTCCATGCCATGCAAAGGATGATACTCTCTTAACAAATCTGAGGATATTTAGAGGAATCCAGAAGGCTCAAGACATATGAAAAATACCCACTTCTTTGATTTTTTTTTTTCCCCTCACTTTGATTTTTAAGTTTAGTTCCCACCCACTAGGTAACTTTTAGAGTTAAGATACAGAAATAGAAAAAGAAAGAAGTTTCTTTATTGTTTGTCTGCAGGCCTGAATGTAATGGACATTATTTTAAAATAAGTCCTTTGTGCTTTTTGAGACAGGGTTCCTCTGTAGTGATAGCTATCCTGGAACTCATTGTGTCAGCCAGGCTGGCCTCTAACTCAAAGAGATCCACCTGCCTCTGCCTCCCTAGGTAGTGCTGGGATTAAAGGTGTGTGCTACCACACCTGACTTAGAATGGGCTCTTAATAGTTGATATTTTCCTTCACTGTCTGTGTTCATATCTTTTGGGATTTGGTTAAAATAGAAAATTAATTGTCCTGTGACCTTTATAGAATAAATGGACTATTAATTCACACAGAGTTAATAAGCTTAAATTATTTCCTTTCTTAGGATTTTTAAAGATTTATTCATTATGTACACAGTGTTCTGCCTGCATGTATGCCTGCATGCCAGAAGAGGGCACCAGATCTCATTATAGGTAGTTGTGAGCCATCATGTGGTTGCTAGGAATTGAACTCAGGATCTCTGAAGAGCAGCCAGTGCTCTGAGTCATTTCTATAGCCCCCTTCTTCCCTTCTTAGGATTTTATAACAAAATTTCACTTGCTAAGACTTTTTCACTATGTAGACCAGGTTGCTCTTGAACTCACAAAGATCTCCCTGCCTAGCCTGCTAAGACACTTGAATCACTTCCCTTCTTAAATGTAAGTCAATGAACTTGATTCCCTCTGATACTTAGAAACCACATTCTTTCCCTTTCTTTCTTTCAGTTGGCCCTAGAACCAGATTCTCCCTGTACGTTCCTGTCAGCTGGTGAAGATGCTGTTGTCTTCACCATTGACCTGAGACAAGATCGGCCAGCTTCGTAAGTTTAGCCATAATATCTTTTTTTTTTTTTTTTAAAGATTTGTTTTAGATTTAGCCAGGTGGTGGTGGGACATGACTTTAATCCCAGGAGGCAGAGTCGGGTGAATCTCTGAGTTGGAGGAGAGCCAGGGCACACAGATGTGTTTTATTTTTATACTTGATCTTAGCCAAAATGCCTAGAAGTGCTGATATATTTTCAAGTTTGTGTATGTGTATATATCTGTGTGGGGGTATGTACACATGAATACAGATGTTCACAGAGGCCCCTAGAAGATCCCTTGGAAGCTAGAGTACAGGTGGTTATGAACCACACAACAAGGATGCTGAAAGCCAAACTCTGGTCCTGTGCCAAAGCAATATGTACTCTTAACCTCTGGGCCATCTTTCTAATCCACATTTTTTCATTGCAAAACTCTATTCCTTGGTCTTGAAAATGCTCTACATGTCATGGTAATGTTACTCTTAGGTTCACCAGAATATAGTACCTTTGAGCCTATGTATGATAAGAGATAGCTTCAAGTTTTGGAGAAATCCTTACTTACTTACTTACTTACTTACTTACTTACTTACTTGCCTAATATTTTCCAGAGAGAGCTCACTTTTTATAGGTAGACTTTAATGATTTGGTAGACTTCTGCTTTTCATTCACCTAAGTACCCACATTCAGCTTACCAGAAGAAGCACATTACTCTACATTCTAGCTTAAAGATAGACTCTTATATCTTATAAATGTCCAGTCGAATTACAGGAACATAAAGGATAAGTCTTGAAAATAAGATTGATGCTACAATAGAGTTTTGTTGTATTATACATAATTTGTACATGGAAGTCTGTTTTCCTTTTTTTTTTTTTTTGAGACTGGGTCTCTCTGTATTGCTTTGGAACCTGTCCTGGAATTAGCTCTGCAGACCAGCCTGGACTCAAACTCCACCTGCCTCTGCCTCCCAAGTGGGATTAAAGGCGTGCACCACCAACGCTCAGCTTTTTTGTCATTTTTATCTTACTGTTAGTGTGTGTATGTACACAGTATGGATGTATGTGTGTGCATGTGCCATGGTATGTATATGGAGGTCAGAGGACAACTTTGTGGAGTTGGTTTTCTCCTTCTACCTTTATGTGGGTTCCAGGAATTGTCCTCAGGTTACCAGGCTTGTACATTAAGTACTTTACCCACTAAACCATCACTGGTTGAAAAACAAATGTCTTTTGTGGGTCCAGGCAGATCAAGTCAAATCTCAGTCCAGTTATTACTAGTTAAATAACTTTATGTAACTTACTGAATTTCAGTATCTTTGTTTATATTATATCTCCCTCCCTTTCTGGAAGTCTTATCTATACATTACCATTCATACATAGATGCATACATTGTCTGTTTTCATTTTTGTTGGTTTTACAATAATTACATCTTAAACTCAAGTAATGAAAACTCATAGACAAAATAGAAATGCTCCTTATGTATCTTTTCCCATTTTTCTAGCTATTGATAACCATTGTTAATAATTTTGAGTATTTTTCCTGTCATTTTTTTAAATATAGTTACATGTGTGCTTTTCGATGATCTCTATACTTTTTAAAGGTAAGGTCTCATGTTGCCCAGACTGGCCTAGAACTCAGTTTAGTCAAGGATAACTGTGAATTTTTGATGATCCTACCTTTCACACCACCATGCCTGGCATCTGTATTCTTTTAATGGAAAGTTGTATAAATTTTAAAATCAAAAATCTCACTGTCCAGAACAGTTCTAAGCTAGAGTGGCTTTGACCATGAAGAGAGAATGCTAAGATTATTTCTTTATGAAAAAATTTGTTATGGTGGTTGTCTTTTTCTTGTTTCCATTTCCATTATTCTAAAGTGAATAAAAGCTTAAAATAAAAAACAAAAGCTCAGTTAGGTTCATTTTTAATGATTTCTTTTTTATTTTATGTGCATTGGTGTTTTGCCTGCATGTCTGTGTGAGAGATCCCACGAAACTGGAGTTACAGACATTTGTGAGCTGCCATGTGGTTGCCAGGGATTGAACTCGGGTTCCCTGGAAGAGCAGCCTGTTATGAGTAAGGTTTTTCCGCCAGCCTGGTCCCAGAGCTGCGGCAGCCCCAAACAACACACAGAGAGACACTGTATTAGATATAAAGCTGGTGGCCTCTTTCTCATGTTTCTTATTGACTGGCTCTGTCTTAATGATTTCTATTAATCTAAGCATTTCCACGTGGTCTCATTTATTGGAGAGAGGGGCTGGCATTCTTCTCTCCATCCTCCATCTTGAATCTCCTCCCTAGTACTTCCTCTCTCCTCCTTGTCTCCTAGTCCCTCCTATCTTGCTTTCCTATTGGCCAACACTGCTTTATTCATTAACCAATAAGAGAAACATATTTACAGAATGACATCTCCCATCATCTCTTTCTGTCTAAAATAAAAAGAAGAGTTTTAACCTTAACATAGTAAAATATATTACACAACAGTTATCAAATAAGAACCACAGTTAATATATTTAGTCCATTAACATTTAGTAAGACTTAAAGAAAATATTCTATCATTTATCCTATCTTTGTGAGTCTAAAGTCTTACGTGTAATTTATCTTTACTCCTAACTAAGGAAAACTATAACCATAACTATCTGTCTTCAACTCCTTCAAAGACCACAGAAGGATAATACATAAACTCTAGAAATGACAGAGGCAACTCACTACCTGGTCAGGCACCTGAAGTTCTTCTGTAATGTTCCATCTTCAGCCTATAGGCCATAGTGTGTCTGGCAGACTCCTCAGCAAAGCAGAAAACTTTAAACTATCTACCTGTATTGGCAGTTTGTCAGTCACTTTTCTCTGTGTCCTGCAGAATGTCTGGCAGACTCTTCCATGAAGCAGAACTCTGTGGCAATGTTCATCTTGTATCAGCAGTTACTTTTCTGTGGGTCCTGCATGTCCAGTTTATACAGCATAAAGTCAAACAGTCCAGACAAGAGCAGTATCTTGCCCAAATGGCTAGTCTTACAATATTGAAAGTAAACTCCATAATGAATTTCTTTGACGTCCATCTTCTTTTCTGACACAGGCGGTATTGCCAGGAGCAGTTATGCTTCACTTTCAAGAAAAACCCTAAACCATTTTAAATGCAATATCTGTAGGTCTTTGAAAGGTTTGAAGAATGCCTAGTCATCTCAAATACATCTATATATATCTAGAATCTAACTAACTTAACTCTAAGTTTTGACTATCATAGGTAACTATCTATAATAATCTGTGCTAAATTATACGTTACATTTCTAAATGAGCTACATAAACACAATACCTAAACAAGAGGACAAATATACATATCATAAAATTGACCTTAAATTGTATCAATAAAAGAAAATCTATTCCAAAACAAAGTATTCATATCTATACCATAATCCCCTTTTTACCTTTAAAGATCTCTGCTCTTTTGCTTGGTTGTGATCATTAATCATTTATAACCAACCCCATTTAAATGAAAACATTTAATTAATTAAATGAAAACAAACATTTATAGACAGTATTTGCGAATTTGGGTGTTCTTTCCAAACTGCTTCCTGCTGGTAGAGGGCGCTGTCATGGGGGATCCTAAGAAGACGCAGAAATCCTGGCTGTAGGCTGCAAGGCTGCCTTGTCCCAACTGTTCTGAATGTTGGATCACCTGAAATGCTGTTTCAGGGGGTCTGGCTTGATCAAACCATGTTAGTCTGGAAGGAATCCACAGCTTTTCATTTTCTGTGGAAACAAAAATAGAAATCCTTTTCCCCAGTAACCTGTCCTTGGATTTTGGAGTCAAAGCATTTTTAAAATATATAAATTGAATTAAATCCTGCAGCATTTCTTTTACCAGTTGTTGCTATTTCCTCGGCAGTCAAACAATTTAAAGATAACAGAACAGCATATAGTATCCAAAGTTTCTCTGTGCTTTCTACTTCTATTTTTTTTTTTTTTTTTTTTTTTTTTATATTTTGAGACAGGGTTTCTCTATGTAACTTTTATCAGTCCTGGAATTAACTCTGTATACCAGGTTTATTTTGAAATCACATAGATATGCTTGCCTCTGCCTCCCGAGTGCTGGAATTTAAGGCATGTGCCATCACACCACGCTACTCTTTGTCTTTTTAAAACCATTTTATTATGTTTTTCTCCCAAGCCTATGTATATTTTAAAACACACTGTAAATCTTTAGAGGTTTTTCTTAATTTGAATCTATCATTATTGTAATCTTTATCTTTTTCTGTCCACAAGTCTTTTATCTGGTAAACAACATTGCTAAAATGAAAGCCACAGCTGTATTAGCCGCGGTCTATCCAAGATGGCAGTGGGTATCTTTACGGCCAGAATTGAGAGCTGTGCTCACTGCCTTGGTCTACGCTGCCATCCAGCAGCATGTTGCCAGCTTGGAGATGTGGTCACTGCCATTGCTAGCTTTCATACACATAGTTCATTTGTTAGCAGAGCTCTTTAAAAGCCTTGAGGGTTTTTTGCCGCTTATGCTGAGTCAGGAAATCTCCCTTAAAGGAGCTGCACAAATCTCTGCTGAATCTAGCAAAACAGTCCAACTGAGAAAAGTGCTGCTACCAATAACCCTTGCTTATCTCTGCTCTTTTGCTTCTAAAACCCTTTTTTAAGCTTTTTTTAAGTTTTAAGTGGAAGTTCTTATTAGCCACATTGAAGGCGCCATTATGTTGAGTAGTTTTTTTCCCTGCAAGCTTGGTTCCACCACCATGCCAACCCCAAATAACACACAGAGACCCTGTATTAGATTATAATTCTGTTGGCCAGTTACTAGTTTCTTATCTGCTTATCTGTCTTAATTATTAACCCATTTCTATTAATCTAAGTACTTCCACGTGGCCTCATCTTACTGGAGAGAGGGGCTGGCATTCTGCTCTTTCTGTCTTCCATCTTCCACCTCCTCCCTACTACTTCCTCTCTCCTAGTCTCCTAGTCCCACCTATCTTGCTTTCCCATTGGCCAACACTGCTTTATTCATTAACCAATAAGAGAAACATATTTACAGAATGACATCTCCCATTAGCAGCCAGTGTTTTTTGCCAACTGAGCCATCTCACCAGCTCAGGTTCCTTTTAATAGTTTAACATCTTTTCTGTAAGCTTAGTAAATCTGCATGATACCATGTTTGATAAATTGACACCTAGATTTGGGGAAAGTTCTGTACAACTACTCCTAACGTGAGGTAAATTATGGCTGGTTAACTACATTCTTGTAACCAAGGGGTTCTCTTAGGACCCCTTGACATGACGATCATCCGAAGGATCATACTTCTGTGTTTTCAGTTTTACATATAGCTATCTTCATAAAACCATTCTTTGCTAATTTGTTGTTTTAATCTTAAATTACATTTATTGTGTGTATACATGCACAATGCACACAGGCAGGTTAGAGGTCAGTTTGAGGGACTTGGTTCTCTTCTTCCACCATTGGGTCCTGAAGATCACTCAGGTTGTCAAGCTTGATGGCAAGCGCCGTTACCCACTGAGCCATCTTGCGAGATGTGCTCACTGAATTTGGAGCTCACCAGTTTGGCAAGACTAACTGGCCAACAAGCTTTGGGGATCACTCGTTGTCTGCCTCACCAGCACTGGGGTTAGAGCCTTTCCTGTGGGAGCTCTGGCTCTAACTCAGTACGGCAGACACTTCACTGGCTGGTCCATCTCTCCAATCCCAAAGCTGCGTTTTCAGTGACTTTTTTATTTTTCCATAAAAACTGGGAGACAGACTTTGATGTCTAGAGCTTCTTAGCTTCTTGTTGCTGTGATTCTTGCAGCAAGCCCTTTATCTCCAGGTGTTTTGTATCACGTTAACTAAGGCAATAGACTCATTCACATGTTCTTATACTTAATTTTGTAAATTTACTTTATTATTTATGTGGATGGGTATTTTGCCTGCACATGTCTGTGGACTGTGTGTAAACCTGGTATCCACGAAGACCAGAAAAAGGCATTGGATCCCCTAGAACTGGAACCCACGTGGATGTTCAGACTCAGGTCCTCTGGAAGGGCAGACAGTGCTCTTAACCACTGAGCCATCTCCTTATATTTTTTTATTATCTCATATATTTATCCTACAAAATGATGGCTTCATTATCACATGTTTAAGTACATAGAATATGGTTTGAGCATAGTTACCTCTAGGTTCTTCTCTTACCCTTTAAAAAGCATCTTCCTTTCCCTCATATTTCTTCCTTTTTAAAAGACAAGGTCTCTTAACCAGGCTGAAGATGGCTTCAGTCCTGATGTTGCCTCTGTCTGCTGAGGGCTGGGGTTTCCAGGCATGTGCCACCTACCCAGATTATGTGGTGCTGAGAGTGGAAGCCATGGCTGTGCACTGGCTGAGAAATCACGATTTTTCTGTCTCTACCTTCTGAGTGCTACAATGACAGACATGCCACAATGGCAGCCTTTTCTTTTTCTTTGTTGAGTGCTGGGGTTACAGATCTGAGCTACCTATCATGCTGAGCTCCATCTGGGTCTTTTGGACAATGTAACTGTATGCTTTTTCTACTCTTTGAAGGAAGCTGGTGGTGACAAAAGAGAAGGAGAAGAAAGTGGGGCTGTACACAATCTATGTGAACCCTGCCAATACCCACCAGTTTGCAGTAGGGGGACGAGACCAGTTTGTAAGGTGAGTTTGTCAGTCCTTTGTATCTTTGAGAGTTTGAGACTTGGGGTATATTGTATATTGTTAGATACTCCCCAGTGCAATGTTAGCGAATTGTAGAAATTCACTAACTACCATGTTGAACTTTTTACCCTTTTAGAAATGCTTAAGCCCCTTCTGAGACATTCTGTTCCCTATGACAACAATCTGAAGAGCTTCATATTATGTGGATTATCACTTTTTAAAATGAATATATTTTATTTGTATGGTTGTTGTGTATAACTGGGCACTGTTCATGAGTGGTGCCTGAGGAAGCCAGAGGAAAACTTCGAATATTCTTGGACTGGAGTTAGAGATTGTTGTTGGGCATGGTGTTGGTGCTGATCATTGACCCTGATCCTCTTAACCACTATGCCATCATTTCAGCCCTGGGATTATCACATTTTAAAGAAGATTGATAAATTTGCCCCGCATAGTGGTTTAAGACATAAATCCATATGTGGTTTTCACTATTTTTCTATGTAGATGAACATTGTACTAGCAATCTTTTCAAATAATTTTTATATTTGATTTTTGTATTATCTGTGTTAGTATGATGTGTATATGAGGTGTGTATGCCATAGTGCATGTTTAGCATTCGTGTAGAAATCATAGGACAACTCTGTGGATTCATTCAATCCTTTACACTTGTTTGGAAATCAAACTATCAGACTCAAGTTGTGAGGATTGCATCATTGAGCAGGAAGTGTGCTTACCCAGTTAATCATCTTGACAGCTCTGCACTAATCATGTTGAGCATTGGTTAGATTTAGAAAAATTTGGCTTTGGAACACTCTGTAACTGAGGATTTTTGTTTCTGTTGTCCTGGACAACTTTTCTTTATTTGTAGTAATATCTTTCTTTGTTACTGTGAACATCTGTTTTTAACACTGGCTATTGAGACACATCCTAAGGGAAAACAGACATCATGCTTTCAATCCCCATTGTACCAGTTGTTTTCCTTCCGACCCTTATTCCCTAGCTAGCCATCTGCTGTATTTAACTACATTTCTTTGGGATTGTCAGTTTGAAAAAGGAGGGATAGCATAATTAGAAAAATGGTGTTTTGTTTTTCTGTTCTGCTGGTAGTTGAAAAGTGACTTCTTTTGGAATGAAAGCACATTTTAAAAACTATTTTGAAATTACTTGTATTAATTAGAATTGTGAGGTAAATTTTCAGAAAAATCTATTATTTACTTTGTTTAAGAGTTCTGGATAATGTGTTAAGGACAGTATCATTAGCAGATTGAGGAGTAGGGATAGGTTTGAAAGACTTTAGTTTTGGGAGAAAACAGTTTCCTTTTGGACAACCTATTATAACATCTAAATGTTAAGTAGATGTTGTAGATGTTAAGTCTAGAACTCAGAGTAAGAGACACAGATTTAAAACATTTCTAGATGTAGGGAGCTAGTGATAGTCAAAGAATTTCCTCATCAAAAAAGAGTACAGTCATTTCCCCTAATCTATAAAGGACATATTCCTGGTGTTAGCTTTGAACTTCTGGATAGTAATAAACTCTAAAGGTGCTGGGCTTTGTTATTAAAACTAGTGAATTTTTTTTTTCCTGGACTTTTTTTATTCAACATTTTGAGTAGTCGTTTACAGGTAACTTCAGGAGATTGGTGGTTTGGGGATCATTTTTTGTGGCCCATGAGAGGGAGAACTAGCCAAATAAAAGTTCAAGGAAGGAGGGATAGGGAAATGGCTCAGCAGTTTATGAAGGCTTACTGTTCTTTCAGAGGCTCTGGGTTCAGTTTCTCGCACCCACATGGCAGCTCACAACCATCTGTAAGTCCAGTTCTCTGGTGTCTGGCACCCTATCCTGTCCTTGCAACACTACACTCATAACTGTGATGCATATACATACATGCAGTCAAAACACTCAGTATACATGAATAAAAATAAATCTTAAAAAAATTCAAAGGACTTAAGACCTACTTACATAAAATATGACCTCTGCCCAAATAAATGCTTTGGGATAAGTAAGAAACATATAAAAGGTGTGATAATTAATTGCTTCAGTGAAAATAAATCATAAATGGGGCTCGAGAGATGTATAGTTTAATTCATAAAATGTGAGATGAGATGTACTTACTTGCATTCCCAGTACTGGAGAGGCAGAGACAAAGATTCCTGGGGCTTGCTTGCCAGCTGGTCTAGTATAATTGGTGAGCTTCAGGATAATGAGAAACCCTGTTGTAAAGGATTTGGATGGTGTTCCAAAGAATGACACTCAAGGTTCTCCTTTTGGCTTGCACATACATGAAACTTATCACCACTAAAATAAACAGTAAGTGAACTGCTTGTTGAGAATATCTGGATAAGGCAGAGTTTGGAGATTGATTAGAGAAGGGAACACCTTTCCTGAAGAGAACAAAGCAAAAGCTTGGTTAGGAAAGAGCCTGTGTCTTACAACTCTGCAAGGGATCACTTTTTTTAAGTTTTGACGCTTTGATTGCATCTTTCATTAAAGGATTTATGACCAGAGGAAAATTGATGAGAATGAGAACAATGGAGTACTGAAGAAGTTCTGTCCTCATCACTTGGTAAGATTCGTGAAGGACCAGTGGCTCCTGGCTTTCTTGATTTCATCCTGAGCTGCCTCCAAACTTTTTGGCCTAATGTGGAGAGTTTGGAATTTGAAGTCAGACAGATTTTAACCCTGGTTTTCTCACTTACAAGCTTTATGACTTGAGGCAGCCATTTGACCTTTTCTAGCCTTGGTGATCTCAACAGCAAAATGGAGATCAGCACCATTATGTTGGCCTATTGAGATAATGCATCTGAAATGGCTAGCACACAGCAGAGAACCAAGAGAGGGCCTCACTAAGACTCTGCTTCTTGAGGTGGACACGTTTCCTCAGTTATATAACTCACTCTCACCCCTCCTCCTGCATCTTTCTGTTTATCTCTTATCTGTCTCTGGAAAAAAGATACACAGGGAAGTTTCTAGAAAAACCTGTTCCTGAAGTTGATATAACAAACGGGGTGGGGGTGGGGGCATCAGTCAGTATCTGCTCCTTATTGCAGGTGAACAGTGAGTCCAAAGCAAACATCACCTGTCTTGTGTACAGCCACGACGGCACAGGTACGTGAGCAGGGCCCAGCTCCTAGGCTGGCATGTCCCCTCTGTCTAGGCAGCTGCTGAGCCAGTGAGGCATGTGCCCTCCAGGGTTCACCACTGTACAGTAGCTCCAAGTGGAGCAGCTGGCAATAGTTACTGATGGTAAGCATGTAGTGGGAGGATATAGCAGATGGCCCTTGGAAATGCTTCAGCTGACACTTCACGGACTTGTCCTGAAGCCTAAGCTACTGTAAGCCTAAGCATCTGCTGCCTTTGATGACTTAGTAAGTTAGAGGCTTCGATCTCCTGAGTGTTCTACTGCCCCTGGGCTGGTAATGTGTTCATCATAGATCCTATGTGACCTTACTTGCCTGCTGTTCCAAACTTAAGTAAGATGGGTACTTTATCTGGGTGCTAAGAGGATTCACTACCAGCAATAAGTCCCATCCTAGACAACCCCCCCATCCGTCCTAATCTTCTGGTCTCTGCATTTTTCAGCCTTTGCCTTCACTGCTGTGTTCTTGTTCTTGGCAGAGCTCCTGGCCAGTTACAATGATGAAGACATTTACCTTTTCAACTCTTCTCACAGTGATGGGGCCCAGTATATTAAGAGATATAAAGGTCATAGAAATAATGCTACAGGTGAGTCTGCCCTTTTTGGCTTTGTGACTCAAGTCACATTGAAAACCTACATTACCTTATTCCCATTGTGTAGGAGGCAACTACCTGAGGAGTAGGCTGCCTGTGTCTACTAGGGCAGTGTGAGATTATGCCTAGTCGGGCTGGAATTTTCTTTTTTCCAGTGTGATACAGGGAGGGCTCATTAGCATCTTCTCTGCAGTGATGTTGCATGAAGCTAGACTTTACTTTCTGTGATTTCAGGTACTGTAGAGTAGGCACAAAGGTCCTTCTGTAAAGTTAGGAAAAACTGAATTACATATATGTATAAGGTGGTATTGTCAGAGGGAGAGATGGGAATGATTCCTTTGAATGAATAAAGCAAAGTAGGGGATAATGGTGGTATCTAGTCCAAGTTTTCAGTGGAGTCTGGCTTTTAGTTCTATATCTGTGGTTCCTAAACACTGGAGCTCACTGGACTCACCTCAGTCCTTTAATAAGAGCAGTGATGCCCATCTCCCCCACACATTGGATATAATTGGAGCCTTGGGCTTTTTTAAAGTGTTCTGACAGGTCTAATGTAGAGAAGGTAGAGAATTACTGCACTTGGTTGGTGCCACTCCTCTCAGCTGTGTGTCATCTCTTGACTGGTAAGAAGGAAAGAGGGCAGAGTTCTGTGTTTGAATTTCATTATGTGGGCAAGCAAAAGGCTTAAAGTGTCGGTATTGTGGCTGGTATGTGGAACAAGTTCTGATAGTGGGGTTCCTGTCTTTTACAAATGGTAAAGATTTGAGCCTTTTTTACTGGGTTCTGCCAGTGATGCTTCTCATAGGTGACTGTGCCATCTACCTTTGTTAGTCACAGGCCAACTGGGCACCACTAAAACATACATAAACCAAGAACAATCCTAGGGCCTAAGATGGACAGAGTTGAAATGAATCTGGTTAGGACAGATAGGGCATTAGTTTGAAGCAGACTGTCGCCCAAGATAGTAAACTCCTGATAGAGCTCTTCAGGAGAATGTAAATAGTCTCTGGGACTGGTGTGGTTCTTATTATAATTATCTATCACATACATAATCTCTTGATTTGTAGGAATGAAAAGAATAATTTGGCATCCAGCCGACTCAGAGTTTGTGAATTACTAAATTCTTGGTGAGGTAAAAAAAATACAGGCCAGGTGCCAATCCTTATGTGGTTTCTTCCCTCATTTATCCTTTCAGTAAAAGGTGTCAATTTCTATGGCCCCAAGAGTGAGTTTGTGGTGAGCGGTAGTGACTGCGGGCATATCTTTCTCTGGGAGAAGTCATCTTGCCAAATCATTCAGTTCATGGAGGGGGACAAAGGAGGTGTGGTGAGTATGGTGTGCTGGACTGGGTGGCTCCTAGTTTCTTAGGTCAGTAAGGTAGGTCTTAAGTGGGCCACTGATTTTACAGTTCCATCCAGCTAAATTAAAGGTATTATGCCTTAAGGGTTGCTGAGGTTTTGGTAGAATGCTGTCTTCTATTCCTTTCTTCTGCCCTTACAAGGTATAGTTTATTGAAAAGAATAAATCTCTTAGGCATGGGCTTTTTCCAAACAAGAAACCTTCCTATACAATGTCAAAAAAAGATAACCTCTTGCATTGGCTCTAAGTAAGCCAAGCAGGACCTTGACTGATTCCTGCCTGGATCAGCAGAGAAAAGCTAGAAGCACATTTATTTTTCTTTTACTGATTTTAGAAGAAACATTTTTTTGAATATTTGGAGAAATAATTATGGTTTGTAACTTATGTAACATGGTATTCAATACTGAATTTATTTGATATACTATTTAGAAGAATATCCTTGTACTTATCAGATGTACCCTGTATTTAGGGATAAAGTGCCATGGCTATTGTCAAATGGATACAAATACACATAATGTAATAAAATACATTGAAAAGAACAGCCGAACAGCCTGTTCAGATAATATGCTTATATCATTGTCTGCCTGTCCTTTGAGTTTTGCAAGCATCCTCTATGTTAGTGGATCAAGAAAGAAACATGAAAATCAAGTTAGAAAATGAAGAATGGTCAATCATGATGTATTTATTTAGCTTACCATATTTTTTTTCTTTCCTTTTTTAAGAACCAGCATTAGGAAAGAGTTAAATAGCTTTCTACAGCAAGGTTTTTGAGCCACTGAAGAAAGGAAAGAGACAGTTTGAAAGATTACACTTTACTAATTACCCAAGATGCTTTGGCTACCTACATCTTGTAAGGCATGATTAGAACTGCTTTGACTCTCATCCTTTTCATTTTCCTGAGCTTCGGGGAACTCAGACACCAGCTGTGACTTGATAATGCTTGCCAGAGAGTGGCTTTAGAGTTGAAGGTGCCTCTTTGGCATCCGGATCCCATGCCCTCTTCCTGTTTTCTTGGTCTGCTTATGAGGCTATTTTGTATCTTATTCTGGTTTCCTTTAAATCTTTTGGACCTAGGGCGTCTGTAGCCTGAATGTAAGAGGAGAGGAATCTTTTAAGTTCTAGATGTGTCTTCCTCTTCTCTACTTGTATTTCCTTTCCTGTGTCACCTGTAGTTAACAAGTTCAGACACCGGAATCTTAAAAGTCTACAGTAGACACATAGTGAGTCAGAAAGGACTAGTGAATCCTTTCTTGATCATAAACTATTATCTTACATTCTGTTGCAGAAAGATGCAGGGATGAATGCCCTCTCCCAGCACTTGTCAGTTCTCTAGAAGCCGTCTGCTTTCAGCTCAGCCACTACAAGGGTTTTTTGATTAATCCAGTGCTCAGGAGAAGTATCTTCTTAGGATGGGTGGACCCCAGGCCAGAGATTAGTGGCTGCCCCCTGAAGAGTTTCTGTAGGGAGTAAGGTTTTTCCTCCCGCCGCCGCGCCAGCCCCAAATAACACACAGAGACTCTGTATATGATGTAATTCTGTTGGGCAGTCACTAGTTTCTTATCGGCTAGCTCTGTGTTAATTATTAACCCATTTCTATGTATTTCCACGTGGTCTTACCAGGTGGTTCTATTCTCTCCAGATTCTCCATCTTGACTCTCCTTCCTACTTCCTCTTTCCTCCTTGTCTCCTAGTCCCTCCTATCTTCCTTTCCTATTGGCCAACAGTGCTTTATTCAGTAACCAGTATGAGAAACATATTTACAGAATCACATCTCCCATCAAGTTTCTTTACTTCTTCTTACCTTTATGTGAGTCAAATGATCCATGTTGTTCTTACCTGGTTCCTTCTGTGATAGTTTTGTTTTTGTTACAACCTTTCAGCAGTAGAGGTCACCAGGTTCCAGCCTAGATGTAGATGTAGAATGTTAGCATCAGCAGGATCTTAGACATTATTGCCCACCTGGCCCAGGTCTCCTAGTTCTTGTTTTGGGATCCTTTCTTTGTTCCCATTCGCAGGGCCAAGAGTGGGAAATGATGTCAAGGAAAAAGTCCTTGGTCTCCCAAGAGCACTTGATGTTTTATATTTCCCCCTCACCCCCCCATCCCCACCCCAAGTCTTGTAAGGCCAGAGTTCTTTCTGTGCTCCATCCAGCATTATTGACAGTAAGTCCTGGCATTCAGACAGGTCTGGTGAGGCTCCCTAGCCCAGAAGCTCTCTGTTGACTCCCCCTGCAGGCTCCAACTCCTGGTATTGTATATAATTTATTCTCTTGTCCTCTTGCCATTGGCCTTAACCTTAGGCTTAAGTTCCAAGGAATTGTCCCTTTAAGTTTTTTTTTTTTTTTATTTTACCCACTTGTTGGAAGCTCAAGAGTACAGGTCTTTAACAAGATTTCATGAGGAAATGGATGAATGAGGTCAGGTTTGCATGTGTAAGTCATCAAGTATCTGTTGATAACATTTTTGTACTCAGGTTTGTTCTCTAGTGCTTTCTCAGGCTCCAAAGTACACAGCCTAAAAGAAACAGCAGTGAGCTTATATGTGAAATTAGAACAGAAGAAAACTGGGCTTCTGTGTTACTCTCAGGTTCAGAGTTAGATTTGGCCATCTGAGCCTGTTTTATTTGTAAATTCAAAGTTAAAGAAAATGAAGTCATCTTTATTCTCTGTGCCTGCCTTTCGTTTTCCTTAGCTGTGGTCTGAGTGTGCAGGCACAGCAGCCAAGGTTGGCCCTGAGAGAGAACTAGAAAAGGCTTTTTGCCAGGGGTTTATTTTCTAGGACTGTAGAGCAGAAGCAAGGCGGGGTGCTTTTCCTATCTGTTCCTCATCTGACTAAAAGCCTAAAAATGTTTTAGTGGCTAGATCTGGGACTGGCTCTTCCGGTGGGGATGGGAACTTCCCTGTCCTGCCCTGCCCTGCCTTGCCCTGCCCCGTTAAGGAAGCTCCTGTTTTCAAGTCAGACAGCAGAGGGCATGGGTGGTTTTAGACAAAAGGAAATTGTCTGAGACCCAATGTCTGCCATCCGTCCACTGTTTTTTCTCCTGTTCCATGAATGAGGGTAGCTGAAATTGATTCAGTGGAGAAACTGCATGACTACATTGTGCTTCCCTGTAGCGGAGTTTACTATGCCCTTAGGGCAGATAGCAGGATGTTGCCCTCTGACAGGGCATTCTTAAGCAGACACAAACCTCCGTTATCCTTAGTTCATTCTCTTCTCAGCGTTGACATCATCCAATTAGTAAACAGCACCGAGTAGGAATAATTATTTTCCATTTTTTGTGGAAGTGCAGGAGCAGCTGCTGATTTCCTAATTTTTACTTATTGTCACTTGATGAAAGCCACTGAGATATTTTTTCTAGTCTTAGGCAAATTGGCGCTTTAGATTTTGGAGTGAATGAGGTCATGAAGTGTATCTATCTTATGAAGCTACAATATGCATGGCCTATCATTCACCTGCTCCTGGGGCTATGTCTAGGGAAGCAGCCTCCCCTCAACTACATATTGGAAATGATAAAAAGGCTGATTTTTTTTTTTTTTTTTTTTTTAAATCTAGTTTGTGTCTCCTCTACTGCCAGAGCTATTTGGTCTAAGCTCAAGTAGGTGATCCTGCTTCAGCCCAGGTCAAAGATAACTATTTGACTCAAGGCCATCATAGTTCTTAAACTCTACACCCATATGCTCCTAAACTTCTGCTTTTTTTCCCTCCCAAACCAGGTAAACTGTCTTGAGCCCCATCCTCACCTACCTGTTTTGGCAACCAGTGGCCTGGACCATGATGTGAAGATCTGGGCACCCACAGCTGAAGCTTCCACTGAGCTCACAGGGTTAAAGGATGTAAGTGACTGGCTGAAAGCATTCACTTGTAGAAACAAATGGGTGTAATAGTTGCCTTTATGTTAAAGTGTTCTTTCACAGTGACCAACAATGGGCATCCTTTCCTAATCTAATCTTGCTCAACATTAGCTTAATGGTATCTGAAGGAATGCTTTATTGGGATGAAAGACATGGTCTGCTTCCCCCACCCCCCCCCCCACAGTGCTGGGGGTTGTAGCCAGGACCTTGCATATACTCTACCACTGAACTACGATCTAGCTAGCCCTTGGTTTTCAGAGACAAGCTTTTAATACCTAGCTCAGGCTGGCCTTGAATTTGTGATCCTCATATCTCTATTTTCCAGTGCTGGGTTATAGTCATATGCAAACACCAGCCTTGTTGATCAAGCCCAGGATTTCTATTCATTACTATCCCTTCTAACTCTTGGGTTCCAGGTGATTAAGAAGAACAAGCGAGAACGGGATGAAGATAGCTTGCATCACACTGACCTGTTTGATAGTCACATGCTTTGGTTCCTTATGCATCACCTGAGACAGAGACGCCATCATCGGGTAAGTTTCAGTTGGAAGTGAGTTCCCAAGGACCACATGCCTTTAAAGAAGGCTAAAAAATTTAATACCACACTTCCTTACTACTTAAAGAGGAATGGAGTGGCTTTGGTTGGGTGTCTCATGCACTGGCCTTTATCCCTAATAGAGCAACTGGTAGAAAGCAGGTCATGTGTGATTGTGTTCTCTGTCACCATATATCCAGAGGGTGGGTTATTGTTACAGTTGCAGTAGCAGGAGGGGGGGGGGTGGGGGAGTAGAGAAGAAATAATAATTACTCTGGATGACCTGTGTTAACTTTCATGCTAACAGAGGTCGGGAGCAGGGGTCAGCAAACAAATTTTTATTGAAAATGCAGCCACACTCATTCTCTGTATTATCTGTGGCTGCTTTCATGGTACAGAGACAGGGCTGAACAATTCTAACAGAGACCATATGCCCACAGAAATTTGCAGTCTGGCCTTCTAAGGAAAATTCTGAGCCAGGTATATTAGTAGGCACGTATATAATTCTAGCTACAGGGGAGGCCAAAATAGGATGAGGACCACTCATCCTAGGTTATTTAAAAGAAAAAAAAAAAAAAAAAATTCTGCTGATCCCTGATCCATTCTAGATTTAACATCTTGTCCTTGATCCAGGGACATTACTAACAAGGATTTCCCATCCTACAGCGCTGGCGAGAACCTGGGGTTGGGGCCACAGATGCGGACTCTGATGAGTCTCCCAGCTCCTCAGACACATCCGACGAGGAGGAGGGCCCTGACCGGGTGCAGTGCATGCCATCCTGAGGCCCCAAACTTAAGAGGGATGGGCTGGGGCTGCCAACCCAATCCTGCCTGGGCAACTCTTTTTGGTCCCAGGCCCTTACATTCATCAGAAATGCACTTTGGACTTTTTGTTTAAATAAAAGAAAGATATCTGAGAAGGACAGACCACAGGAGATTGAACCAGCAGAGAGCCCCTAGGAGTGAGAGACGCCGGTATGAGCTTCCATGGAAAGGTGCAAAGGACTCAGCAGAAATGGGCCTCTCCCTGAAGCCTTTTGTTCAGGGGGTGAGAAACAAAGCCTTTTGTTAGCAGGCTTGGATAGGAAATGGGGCTTATTTTTCTTTAACCTCCCTTGTTTCTTTTGTGGGGGGTGGGGGAAGGACTGACTGTTCAATACCAAGGGGCCAGAGAGGAGGGTGAGAATGCCACTCTTCTTTGGTTTAGGTTTTTCTCCCCCCTTCCCCTCTTTTTTTTTTTTTTTTTTAAAGAAATCTGACAGTTCCTTTATTTTTTTTTTTTTTTTATCCCTGAGCAACCACATCCCAGGACCCTGTTTTTCTGGAAAATCCTTAAGAGTCCCTAACCATCCCAGTACTTTTCCCTTCACTGCACTATTCTCTGTACTTGTCACAGTGTTTTGCACTTGATTACGTATCTTCCACTTTGTCTCTCCATCCTGCCACTCTCTAAATGGGGGTCTGCGATGGAGGCTGTGAAGAAGGGGCTGGGCAAGAGGTGGAAGAGCAGGAAGAAGTTACCTCTGTTTTGTTTTTAATTTTTCGGTGGCAGCAATTTCCCTGTCCCTATCACTGTTAGAGGCCTAATTTTATATCTATAAATATATTAAAAAGCAAGTTAAACTTGGATGTATCAAGTTAAAATTATTGTCGAAAGTTTAAATGCCTATATATTCTCTATGAATACAATGCAATAAAGGGACTTACAGGAAGAATGAGCGAGAGTGATGATGCAGAAGTGACACGTGGGGTCAGTCTGCTGTTTATATATGGCTGTCAGAGCCTGCGGCCTAAACATGGTAGGATATTTAGCTGTGCCCTTCTCTGCCTTGGTGCAGAGGTTTGGAAAAACAGAAAATTCCTTTCAACTTTGCCTCAGGTCTCCTAGTTTCCTTAAGTCTTGTGGGGGATCCCAAGATTTCTCTTCTCTTTGGAGGCTGGCCTGTCTTTAAAACATGACTGGCCTGTGACTTCAGGAAGGGCACACTGCTGCAAACCTTATCCTGGTTCTGCTATGACAGAAAGCACACTCGACCCCTGGCCTTTTAGCTGCTTGATTCTTTAAGCCATTCAACTCCATACCAGCTCCCTTCCTACGGAAAGGATGAAGGGGAAAGTTCCTGGGAATTGAGGGGCAAGCCAGTAATTGGAAGGTTTATTCTGGTGACTGGGTCTTAGACACATGTCTTAACATTGGCCACTGAGCATGAAGTCCCTATTGAATTGTTGCCCTAAATCCTTTTGCTGCTATTTCTTTGCCCCTAGTTTTCACAAGATTCAATCAGGAATCCTGCATCCTGGGACATTTCGATTTGACCACTCTGGGCCAAGAAGGGGGAAAGAGCAGACGGTGGTATTTGTACCCACTCCTTCCTCCTGACCCCTTCCTAGCAGCTCAGACCAGATGCCAGCTGCTGTACTTCCTTCCTGAGGCAGGGAGTGTAGCAAGCGAGTAGTCCTCACTGCTAGCGGGATTATGAGGTGGGCTTAAACCATGCACTCTGGAATTTGTTGTATTTTTGTCAGTAAAGCTTTTCCCCCCCGACTGCTGCTTGTGTGGTATGTGGTCCATTTATTTGTGATAAGAGTACTTTTGTTCCTTCCAGTATAAATACTTGATTCTGCTAAAGTCCGCTCAGGATATCCCTGTTTCTAGTGCTTGAGCTACAGAAGATTGTTGTAAGATAGGCCTGTTTATGCCTGTGATACTTAGAGGTGTGTGTGTGGGGTTATTATATAGGGGTGTTTTTGAGGCCTGTGTTTCATACAGAAGTGAATGATAATACGGAAAACATGGCTACACATTCCCTCCCAGTCATTCAGAGGTTCCCCAACTCTTAATGACTCACAGAAATTCTAGAATCAGTCAGGTACAGTACAGTCACCTTTATTCCAGGGTTAGAACAGGGCTGTGCATGCTGCAGACAGGAGCATGGGCTAGGGGCAACCTCACAGCAGCACAAAGGTAGCAGGGTAGGTCAGTCTATTAGGGCAGGTTAGTCTATTTAAAGGTTTTTTTTTTTTTTTTTTTTTTTTTTTTTTGCCTTACAGAGAAACTGCTGAAAAGTACCCTCTCTCCTCTCCTGTTTCTTCCATAAGAAAAGCTCCATCTTACTCTGGTTCTCATGTACCATCCTAGATGGAAAGATGGTTTATACTTATTTTTGTTCTCCCAGTTGTACAAGTATCCCTTTTCTTAAAGGAGAAGCCAGACAAGACTAGGGAGTCTTAGGAAGGACCTTTAAGGCAAAACTGGAGTCTTGGAGGTGTGTGTGTTAAGGCAGGTGTCTGCAGCAGTAGCCAGAGGGGATGGGCAGACTGGGTTGGGCTAGAAGTTGAGGGTGCACTAGCCAGTCTGGCTTCTTCCCTCTTCTGACAGCCTGTCTTCCCCTCCCTGTGAAGCTTTGCTCCCACATCCTAGAAGCTCCTACCTTCAACTTCCTCTGAATAGTCTCTGAACTTGCATGTAATTTTAATGTTTGCTGTGGTTGGTTTCAGTGCTTGCTTTTCTGTTTGGACTATGTAACTATTTGGCTCTGCCACTCCCTTCACTGTGGCATCCGCTTCCCACTCCTGCTCTGGCCTAGACAATAAGTTAACGCTAAAAACCACAAAAAAAGGGCAGACATGGCAGTGCGGGTTTAATATACATATATGTAGAATATATATGTACACACAGTTAGCACGGTCAAAATGGGGAAGGGCATCTTGGGACAGGTAGGAGGCTGGGTTCACTCACTGTACTCTAATGACTTGGCTTGGAGGCATCCACAAACCCAAATGAGAAAGGTTACCAAGTCCCTTCCTGTATTGAATTGGGGTGATACTAGGTGCAAAGGAAACCACTATAAGTAACTTCTTGCTTGCTTGGGGTATTCTAAACTGGAGAGTGTAGAGGTTGCCTACAATATCCATATTGGGACACTGTAGGGAATGCAGGTTGAGGATAAAACCTATAGATCTCATTCCCCAACGGCCTTAGGTTTAGGGTCAGTATATTCAACAGTCTGTATTTAGGTGTAAAGGAGTAGAAGTTGGGCCTGTCTCTGCCTGCATCCCTATCTCAGGCTCAGTAGTGCATGGTCCCAGCATAGTCTCTCCACAGCAGAAGTTGGGGGCATCAAATGCTGGCTTCACCATGGGGTTTGATTTTTGGGGGCCAGGAAAGGATCCTACTGGTCTTCTCATTAAGATTTCTGGCTCATACCCATCCCAGGCCCATGACAAGGGCATAAAAGACGGCCTATTGGCCCTTAGGACTTCGGCCTAAGGAATAGCAGGAAACTGGATTCTAGCCAGTCCAGCATAGATCTACAAACACTGAATTCTGGCTTTTCTTTCCCCTTCCAGGTAGAGGTTGGGTAGCCTCTTGTCTTCCTTCCCCATTGGTTTTCTTTAACTCTAACCATATCTCCCATACCTCATCTTCACCTTAGCTCCTCAGTGTAGGAAAATGCAGGTCCTTTCTGCTTCCATACTTTAAAGATGTGGGGGAAGAGTGGAGGGAAGGGGAGGAGGAGGAATGTGCCCGTTTCTGTTTACATAGAAGTAACTTCCACCTCCCCCTATAGTGGGGAAATTAAACCCCCCCTCCCCTGGCTCCAGTCCCCTCATGAGGAGGAGGAACTAGATGAGCTAGACAGACAGACAGCCAGAGCGTGTGAACACGCGCACACACACGCGCATAGTAAGGGGGTTAGGACCAAGTTAGTAAGTGGGTGTGGGGCAGGGGGTTGCCCTGGCCCCTCCCATTGAGGATGGGGAAGGGAGTGGTCTGATGAAGATCCAACCTTCCTCCTCTTCCTCCCCCTTGCTCAGGCCTTCTTTGGTGGGGGAGCCAATTTGATGATTTCTTCCTCAGAGGGCTGCCGGATAATGTCTGGAAAAGCAAAGATGGGGTGTGTCCAGGGATGGAGTTGCCAGGCAGGGCCATTGAGCATGATTCTCTACTCTATGAATATAGTCAGAAGGGAAAAGTAGAAGTGTAGCTATGCCCAAGGCATGGCCAGTTACCTTTGTACTTCTTGGCACTGGGGATACGGGTTAGCTTGGTGTCCAGTTCATCCTCCTCTGAGATCTTCAGCACACGGGTTCTGTAGTCAACCACCATAGTGAGTAGGTCAGGACGACGGGATATCTCAAAGATGTGCTCAATGTAGGAGAGGTTGTCTGGAGGAAGGCAGCTTGAGTCAGAGCTAGGCTAGAGAGGTCAACTTTTACCTTGCCAAACTGGTATTCTTGAACCAACACTGGGTTTATGTTGGTTATTGGAGGGGACAACAGTGAAAGAAGGTGCTACTAAGACAGCTCAAGAAAGTTCAAGGCAGCCACACAGTTTCAAGGACTGATCCTAGGAAGGATGGGTGGCAATGAAATTTTCTAGGGCATAAGTGAAAAAGAGAGACTTTGGGCTAGATATCAAGTCCATCTTCAGGGGAAAAGCTGCATTCATAATTACCCCACAGTCACCCTGTCCTTTTTCCACTTTCCTTCCAAATGAGTATCGGGAAGAATTCCCAGACACCACATGTGGAACAGGAGGATGGGATTTATAGCCAAAGAGGATCTGAACCCAGTAAGAAAAGTTACTTATTAAGGGAGCGAAAGCTCTGACATTGTCAGGGTGGTTTGAGAAGATTCTATATGCCATCAGATCAGCAGCCTCCTTCCTGCCCCGGTGGTGGCAACTGTCTGAATTGTGGTAGATCCTCCTTTGGTTTTCCTCATACTATGTATGTATTGTACTATAGCCAGAGTAGCTCATACAAATACAAAGGACTCTGAGGTTACTTTACTTTTCACACACATGTAACTCAAGATTTACATTCTCAGCTACCTGTAATCAGACCCAATATTTTTAGTCTGGCTAAGCTACACTGCATTCCTTTGCTTAGGTCCTCTGGATTCTACATTAGGAATCCCAATTGCCTTTGGGGTGGTCTATTATCATTGTGTGCATGTGCATGTGTGTGTGTGAATGAGCAAGGAGGTGGTGGTCTGTTATCTCGTGTGTGTGTGTGTGTGTGTGCACGTGTGTGTGTGTGCACGTGTGTGCGATGTGAGCATGAGCAAGGAGGTGGGAGGACAGCTTTGAGGAGTTGGTTCACCTCTTTCACTGTGAGCCCTGGGCCCTCCTTAGGCACACATGGCAAGTGTTTTTACGTGCTACTCTGCCATTAGTTACACACACCATTTCACTCTACAAGCCCCAGCTTCACAAGTTACTGCTTTAATCCAGTGTCTCCTACTTTTTAAAAAACAGCAGTCTCTAAAAGTAGGTAAGACAGCATTAGAATCATGATTTTAAGTTTTATCACTTTAAATTGTTTTCATGTGCTGTTATATATGTAGTGATAGAACAGGAGTATTGAAAAACTTTTTATAATAATAAAGGCACCCTGTAGTCTCTTGCATTGTATCATTTACCCTGCCCCATCTTAGGGCTTCACTTTAGGTAAAAGGCTTGTGTTCGTTTCTATTTGCTGAATGAACAGAGCCCCCTCCACAACCTTTGTCCAGCTTGTTGTGGCTCTCCAGGAAGCTAAACCAGGCACTGCCTGTAGTGATCTCTTCACTCTTCTCGCTGGGGATATCCTCCTTGCAGGCTGACTTGAGCTGTTCCAGATCTTCAAGGGTAATGTTGTTGGTCAGGTCCTGAAGGAGAGTGCCGTACTCTGCCATGACTGGAGGGGAAGGTAATAAAGGGTTAGGAAACTGAGCTTAGTTGTGTGGGGTCTGGTTCACTTACTGCCCATACTTATCTGTGCCGCCTTACCCCCAATGCTCAACAACGCGCGCACAAGGGAGTACACACTTTGTCCTGCCAGAGTAGTGTGTACCTAAAATGTGGAGGTTTAGGAGAGAGGGCAGGTCTGGAGGGAGAAAAGGAAAACCCTCTGACACACAAGAAGAAACTTAGGAAAGCTTGGAGCCTAGAGTGACAAGTCATACACTCCCCACCCCATACACACAATCTTTCTCTTTTTCCCTCCCTTAACAGTAACCCTGGCAACAGCTCCCCTGACTGAGGAGGCGGTTACCATGGCAACGTTCTCCAGACTTTCTTGCAGTCTCCAAGTCCCCCTCCCCAATTGCCCCACCTACCTACAACTCCTCCCCCTGTCACAGGCTTTGCTTAGCAGTGAAGCTAAAAAGGTTTGGTTGAAGCCCCTCTATTCTATCTTCCATTCTTCCCCAGAAGCAAAGGGGTCCCTCATTTCATCTTCCCACCACCCCACTAATGACTCATTTTGGATGGATGCCTAGTTACTTGGTTTGATGGATCCCTGCCCCCCCCCCACTTACCCCTGCATTAGATTATTAGGTCTTAGGGTAGCAGGGAGCAGTAGGCACCCCCACCTCTGTGGAGCCCATTTTCTCCCTTGATAGTGTACTAGGCCCCAACTCAGCCCTCTTTCCTAGCCTTTGTGCTGTGTCTGCAGCCCCCGCGCCCAAGAATACCAAGCGGCTGGCTCTGGCCCCCTGCCCAGTTCCCAGGCAGTCTGGGCGATGGGGGGAGGGGAGTTTAGATGTAGTTTTCAGTCTAGCAGGAAGGGGGATGCTAACCTTTTATCAACATCCTCTGATACTACCTTCAACCTGGCCTCCCACAGGCAAGGCTGTAGGTCTTAATATCATGCCTCTCTGGATCCTTAAGTGGGGAGGACCACATTTGTCCAAGGACACCCTCACTGAAGTAGAAACTATAGCTAAAATAGAAAGATCAGACCTGGGGCCCAGTAGATGGCCCAGTGCTTATGGGCACTGGCTGCTGCTCTTCTAGAGGTTCAATTTCCAGCACCCACAAGGCAGCTCACAAACTTCTGTTGCAGGGGATCCAACACCTCACATAGACATCCAAACAAGCAAAACACCAATGTATGTTTGAGGAAAAGAAAAAGAGGTTAGACCTTAGAATGAACTTTACAGAACTTTATGGATTTGATAAAACGTAAAACTCCATGGTAAGCTACAATCTGTGACCTAACTGAGCACGCTGACTTAGGCCTGTAGTTCCAACATTCAGGAGTCTAAGACAGGAGAACTGTTGCACATTTAAAGTCAGCCTGGACTACATAGCAAAACCTTGTTTCAAATAAAGAACTTTTCTGCAATGAGTATATATTTTATATTCAGAAAATTAAAGCATTAAAGTATATCATAAACATTCTGTGGCTAGACCAAAAGGTGGGCAGGAAGTGGAATGAATGGCCTTGGACCTGACCAAAGCTGCCCATGCATCACCCAATACTGAGCTGAAACTGGCAGATCAAAGGGGGCAGGTTGACAAACCTGTTTTCCTTGTTTCTAGCCTCTCTTGTAGGGGAACTGAGGCAGGGCCATGGGCACTGCATCATTGTGAACCTGTGAGTCCCTATTCTCAGCCTCCTACTTTGACCAGAATAAACAAACCTCCTTCAGTGGTAGGCACAAACAAACAATAAGCCAGACTGCAGGACAAGCACTACCCCCAGAAGAAACATTTTTACTTGCACACCCAGGTGCCACCAGACAGAAGGGCCCAGCGGTGGTCCTACCAGGCAGGACCAGGGACAATGCTCTCTGACTGTCAGCACCAGGAACCATCTCTGCCTAGAAATCTAGGTCACACAGCAGCAAGCTGGAGCCTAGCCCCACCTCCACTGATAATCCTAGGGCAGAAAAGGGGACGAGGGGGAGGGGCCGGAGGAGGCTGGAAGAGTAGCCCAGGATGGAGACATGAAGACCCTGCCCCAAATGAGGCCCTAGGACCTCATTGGAAAAGGGGTGACATTGCCTTGATTTCACAGGGAGGAAGAGTTTGTAAATATGAGAGCAGCTGTGGGAGGAGAGTGTGTAGCGCTGTGTGTGAATCTCAGGAGGAGTTAAGATTCAGCTCTGGTTCTAAAACACAGATCTACCCAGGAGGTAGGCGGGAAGGGATTAGTGTGTGTAACACACACCCACAAAGGTTGGGGGCAGTGGGTAGGAGCTTTCCAAGAGTAAAATATACAAGGAGGCCCTGAAGAGGAAATGTGGATAGGAAAATAGAAAGTGGCTAGGGCGAGATGGTGTGTACATGTGTGTATGCATGCACTTGAGTTTTCCTGGGTGAGAACAGGTATGTGGAAGATGGTAGTAGGTATGTTTGGGTGCTCTGGTAATGGAGCTATGTGCATAGCTAACTGTGAGTTTATGTAGGACGTATGTTTGTGTTTGAACCAGTTGAGCTTATGCAAGAAAATGTAAGTACAGACTCACTCAGAGGGAGTGAGGAGAACCCACAATATGACAGAAGAGAGCTGGCCTTGGGAAAGACTGCACATGAGGAATTCAGTGTGTATGACTGGTGTGGGGGGATGGGGACAGTTAAGCTGCAGTTTCCACTGAGCTGTTACCACAGCAGCCCCAGTTCAGGGCACACCCCCTCCCCACACACACATACCCTGCTAGCCATCAGGACAATGGCACCACCAATGGAAAGAGTGTGGAGAGGGCTAAGGGACAGAAGAAAAGAAGAAAATAGGAATAGGGACTCCAGCCAGGCGTGGCAGAGGCAAGGGCAGAGTAGTTAGGGGACATTTTTTAGGGGCCAGATAGGCAAAATCTTCCCTACATGACTTTCAGGTTTTACTAATCAGCTGTTATCCTGGCTGGTCAGTCTGGTTATGGTGGGGCTCTGCAGAGCTTGCTTCCTTCATCCTCACCAAAGCTAGAACTTGTAAGGACCTATCAGAACTCTGCCTTCTTGGCTCTGAAAGAAAAGTCTCATCTCTGGAGCAGCACAGAGGGCTGCCTCAGGGACACCGGCAGGAGGCCATTCTCAGGACAGGATACCAGGGCAGGAACTGGATCTGAGGCTGCCAGGAAGTCAGTTCCCTTCCCTCCCATCTCAGTCTCTGTGTTCTGCTCTCTGCTTCCTCACACCTTCCTTCCTTCCTTCCTCCCCACCTAAGCTGGCTCTAGGCATAGCCTTGACCACTGAGGATGCTGGGGAAGAAGGGACCTTTAGACAAGTGGGAAGCAAGCTGAGGTTGCTCAGAGAAGCCTAGCAAATGGATAAGCTCCTGTGGTGGAGGTGGTGACACCAAAGTAATTTCTGAGCAGTCTGACCCCAGTTTGTGGAGGATTGTCCCTTCTCCCCAGCATTTGGTTCCATAGAGGAAACCTAAAAAGGAAGTCTGTGGGTTAGATTTTACCCCTTCCTTCATATGTGTCCATCTGGCTGAGGGGAGGGGCCGCCTGATACAGATGCAAGGACCTGAAGGGCCCTTTAATGGGCATGGGCAGGAGGGGATTCCTTGGCATTCACTTTACTCAGTCAGTCGTGTCAAGTTGAGAGCTGGAGGAAGTAATCAACGGAAACAGGTGGAAGGGAGCTAGTAGGGTCATAGCTATTGTACTGTAAGTGATGTCTGGGCCCCAAATCCAAGCAGGACAGCAGTTTATTTCTCCCAGTATCTTAACTGACTTCTCCACCTAACCTTTTTATCCAACTTTGGGTATCTCACCACACGCTCTCTTTCTTCCTGTAACAAAGAAGAGGGTTTTACAGTTCCAAGGCCAGTCTGCCTGGGAGGGGGGCTCCAAAAGGTCTACCTAAGAAGAAAAACAGGTTGCCTCTGGGACTGGAAAGGGCCATGCCCAAGATGCAGGCCGCCAGAGATAGCTAGCTGGCATTGGATTAGGCAGGGCGGAAGACAGCTTAATACTTGTGAGCAGGTAATGGGCCCTGTGGCTCTCCCTGCACTAGCTCTGTTTGTCGTTCCCAGCTATCCCTTCCACATTCTTTTCCTTCCTCCTTAGTCATTTTTAGTTTCTCTTTCTACCTCTTTCAGCCTTTTTTAACGCCACTTCAGAGGACCAAACCCAGGGCCTTGGGCTTGCTAGGCAAGTACTCTACCACTGAGCTACTCTTCCCATGGCATTCATACCTTCTAACTCTTCCTATTCACTCATCCCATTTGCTGGTAGCCATGGATACATTTGAACTTCATGAGACTCAGTGTCCCTACCTAAATACCCAGAGCTACCACAAGGAAGGGATGAGCTCCCCTACTGAAAATAAAAAGTTTGACTGGGGGGGGGCGGCACATACATATATATGGTTGGCTACTGACTAGCTGGTGAAAATGGCTGTCTTGACATTGTACATGAAGCTCTGTGTGTGAGGGGTAGTGTGAGTCTGTGACCTTATGTGTGAAGTAGATGACACCTGCTGAGCACGAGTGGCATATAAGAAGTAGGCAACCAGACGAGCTGGCAGCCTAGGGCATGCTGGCAGTTTCCCCACTGGAGTGTTTAACCGCAAAGGGAAGAGCAATTAACACTAATCGCTCATACAGCCTGGGGGCCAGACTCATAACCTAGAGAAACAAGACACAAATGTTCACATGTTCCTTCTAACTCCCTGCTTCCTTCACCCTCCCTAACTTCTGATCCTCTTTAACTTACTGGCCAGCATCCTTCTGGTTCCTCTGGTCACCCCTTTCTCTCTCTCTCTCTCTCTCTCTCTCTCTCTCTCTCTCTCTCTCTCTCTCTCTCTCTCTCTTCGCCCCCCCAACTTGGGTTCCATCCTTGGCTGACTCATTCTTTTCACGCTCTCCCTTGCTTCTACTTCCTCCTCCATCCTTTGGCCACACCGATGCCCAGAATCGAGCCACTCCCAGGTACCCGTGCTCTAAAAGCACAGTCAGCAAGGAAGGTCACAAGAAGCCCCTCACCCAGGTAAGAGGGCAGACTCACCAGTCCTTGAGGTATTGTCTACTATAGCTGTCTATAAAATCTGGGTGCGTTTGTGGACAGTGGCCCCCTCCATTCACTACTCAACATTCCTGTTAGGATGTCTTAGAGGCTCCGGTCAAGGAGACTGACTCCACATGGGAGGCAATTGGTTGTGGTGGGTGGATGCGTAGTGCAGGGATGTTGTGATTTGGTTTGTATGAGAGGATGTGTGTAAGTCACATGGGTGTGTGTCACTGTGTGGTTGGCTTTTTTTTTTTTTTTTTTTTTTCCCTTAAAGGTGTGTTTATGTCCCTGTCGGTTTTGACACGGATTTTTTTTTTTCTTTAAATTAGGGTCTTTACGTAGGCTACGTCATTCCTCTGCACCCCTAGCTCCTTCCTCCTTTCCTCCAGGCAAGCTTCTACCAATCCCACTCTCCCCAGACGCACTGGGCTGGGTATGAGAGCACACGTACCAGCTGCCCGCTGCCTGAGCAACTGAGGCAGGGCTGAGGCGAGCCCGGAGACTGCCTGCAGAGGCGAGTCCGAAGCTAGAGCGAGGAGGGAGGGGCGGGAGCTGGTCTGGCCAGGCCGGCTGGGCGGGAAGCAGGCTACATCTTAATCCCCAGGCCCCATCGGACTCCCAAACTGCTGTTCAGCATGGAATGGGCGCACGAAGCCACTCTGTCTGCAGCACAATCCAGGCTCTGGATGCACCGACATAAACCCCACGGGGCCTGACACCATGAACCTGTCTAGATCCTCAAGCTCCCCTATTTGTCCCCCGGGTTCAGGATCGTGACCTCTCCAAACCCAGACCCCCCAATCTACCTCCTCCCCACCAAACATCTCCCCTTTGCCCCTCTCACCGCCTCCGGAGCTGAGAGCTCAGGGTGCGGGCACTCCTGGGTCCCCGGTTCCTAAGCAGCGTCTGGAGCCTGCTTCTTGGCTCCTGCCACCGCTGCCGCCGCTCCTGCCGCCGCCGCCTCTTCCGCCGGTGGAGCAGAGCCTGAGCCCAGCACCGCCTCACCCCACCCGACTGGCCGGTGATGTCAGAGCCGGGGAGGGGCGGGGGGCGGGGAGCGGCGAGAGAAGGGGGAGGGGAGGCAGGAGGGGCAGGGACTGTGGGACTGGGGTTCTGGAAGACTCCTAGGATGAGGACAGCACTGGGCTCGAGTATGGACTCTGCCTCTTCCACTTAAACTGTGGAACAATCCTCACATTAATTTTTCCCCAGTGGGTTGCTTTTCTGCCCTCTGCCCTTTGAATGGTCACAGTGGTCAGGACCCCTAGAAGGCGGAAGCAATTTTGATTGGGGGATTTGGAAAACCTATGGCCTCTGGGTTCTCTTGCTACTTTGGAAAAACCAGCTTCCCAGCCTTATAGGTCAGAGGATCAGTAGAAAATGACCAAGTTTATACACGCTAGGAATAGAAATGAGGATGGGGGCAGGCAGCAACAGGGTAATCTCTTACTTGGCCTGGAGCCATGATCTCTTCTGGATAATAGCAGCTGGATCCTGTGCTCCTCCTGGCTTTCCCAAATATACCCCTACATACTCACCCCCTACACACACACACACACACACACACACACACACACACACACACACAATGATGTAATTTTATTTTCTGGGGAAAAAAAGCCATGAGCTCAGCATGCAAATATAGACAACTAACAAAGCCACACTCAGCTGTCTCCTAGCTCTGTCCCTCTGCCTAGGCCCAGTGTGATAATTCTCACTTCCCCTCCACCTCAGGGACTTTCCTCCCCCAGATTCTCAGCCAGACTGAAAGAGGGAAGGGAGAATTGGAGAAGCATCCGATTTTCATTCCATCTCAGCTCAACTCTGAGAGTGTCTGGCCCAGAAGGAAAAGTGTGAACATCTTTAGTGTTTGCATGCCACCAGAACACCCCATCTTGCCTCAGACCCAGATGAGTCCATCCCTCCATACTTGGGGCTTACACTTCTGGGAGAGGCAGGTCATGTTGCTGCCACCTCAATTTTTACAGTGTTTCTCTTTGTTGTTCTCCCCCAGCATGGCTGGCCACTGGAGTTGCCCCTTTGAAGATAACATATCCTTGGAATTTGCTTCTGTTTCTAATTTTGCTGGGCCAAATCTATCTTGTTGACCCATCTTTGAGACTTGAAGGAACTGCACAACATGTAGTATTTAAACGAAACAAGCCAGGCAGTGAGACTTACTGTGTCGTTAAGTCTGAAAAGTTCAGTGTCCTCATCAGCCAGACAAGGATGCTAATGACACTTGAGAGGGATCATCTTGGAATCAGAAATAGTAAGTCTTTGGGGACTGTACCAGATAAATGCTTAAAAAATAAGAAGTTGTTCAGTCTGGTAGCTGTCACTGACCTATACTAAACAAATCCCATAATATTTTTATAATGTAACCTAATACCCAATTACTTATTAGTTATCCATTGTGTGTGAACCATCGATTAAATATTTCATTTCTGTTCTGTATACTTCTGCCGTTTTCTCTAAGAGCACTATCTGGATTTGTCTGTGGAGAGTGAAAACTTCTCTAATCTCAGGGCTCATTTTTCCAGACTTAGACATCCATGGGTACAATTGTTTATGTACAAGGTCCTATAGAAATAAAAAGAAAGCCTGGGTGCCTGCCCTCAGGACTCAGTTCAGTGGCTGTGTAACTGAAGAGGGTTAACAGGGTGCATTAAGTACAAGAATGGAGGTGTACACAGAAAGAGATGGCAGGACCATCGCTAAGGAAGAACAGTGGACTCAATTTTTGACGTTCAAATAAAATGCTTCAGGTAGGGCTCTATCAGCAGCAACATAATCAATTACATATTGCTATGTTATTCTTCAGTTGTCCGGTGCTTGTCTTGACTTTTCAGCAAGGCCAATCAGCTTGAGAGCAGGTACAGGCTTGGCACTGTGTGTTCCTCCAGAGCCCAACAACAGCACGGGACAAACACCATGTGTTCAGAAAAGGCTTGCTGTCTGGAGGCAGAAAAATATCCAGCCTTCTCTGGGACAACTGCTGGAGTGAGTCCCTGCCCCTACCCCTGCTGATGAGCCCCCTAGCTCGTTCTTAACAAGACACTTAGTTAAATCTTCCATCCTTTGGGCGCCTCCCTCCTTCCATAAGGGTGAGACTTCAACAACAGACACTTGCTCATTCTGCCCCAGATCTCTTTATTAAGGCCTTGCATTTGACCCAAATACATTAACATGAGATGGGTGAGATACATCCCTACATACAGTACCTCCCCTCCTTCTGGCCAAGGTCAGGATAGTCAGAAAGCTTTAAGATTTGAAAAGTAGAAGACTGTATTGATGGAAGGGACAAAGAAATGGCAATAGAATCACAGATACGGGGAGTAACAGGAGAGAAACAGTAGATACGGATAAGGTATAGGATAAGAAACAAAGAGATTAATAACTGGGCTGGCATCTCAGGAAAAGCAGCTCCTTTTCTCACCACTGAGGGAGACCAGGATCTCAAGCACCCTGTATCTAGACCACAGTTGGCCCTATAGTAGAGAATGACCCAGTGTCCCGAGGAGCTCGGGGAAGTGCGAGGATGGTGGGAAGGTACATGTAAAGAGCAAGTGGGGCTGGTAGATGGTTGCCATGGCAACTAGTCATCATCGTCATCATCATCATCGTCATCATCATCGTCATCCTCTGTGTTGATTTCACCCTCCAGCACATCCTCCAGCCAGTCCTCCAGCTCCTCAGCAGAAGGCAGGTCCTCCTCATTGTCCATCTCCATCCATATGCTGTCCGCCTAGGTGATGGCACAGGTAGGGGGCAGAAGCTAAATTTAATACAGATCTGGTTCTGTCCTCCCACTCATTGTACATCCTCTTTGTCTCTTCCTGGCACCCTTCAGTGGCCAGAGGAACTATCCTGGTGAAGATCAGAGTTGGAATATCGATGGATATGAGTGGGGAGAAAAGGTGATCTGGGTAAACACCTCGCTTCAGCCTCTCCCCTTTACTGTTGCCATCCTGAGCAGCTATCATGTCTGTGATATAAACGCATTGGTGGTTACTCATGGCCAACAGATTAAAGTCAGAGACGCTAACATTCAAGGATTGTCACAGATCGATTTTCTAGCAATAGCTTCAGTGATCTTAAACTCTAAACTCTATTTTTAAAAATGCTTGCCAAGCCAGGCAGTGGTGGCACACACCTTTAATCCCAGCACTCGGGAGACAGAGGCAGGTGGATCTCTGTGAGTTCGAGACCAGTGGTCTACAAGAGCTAGTTCCAGTACAGTCTCAATTGCCACAGAGAAACCCTGTCTCAAAAATAAATAAATAAAATAAAATGCCTGCTCCCAAACCTGATACTCTCTCTCTCTCTCTCTTTTTTTTTTTTTAAAGATGTGCTCTTGATGGCTCTCACCTTTAATCCCAGCACTTGGGAAGAAGAAGTAGGTAGATCTCTGAGTTTGAGGCCAACCTGGTCTGTAGAGTGTGTTCCAGGACAGCTAAGGCTATATTAAAAAATCCTGTCACAAACAAAAAATGTGCACTTGCTTTATAGACTTGACCAGCCAGCCTCAGACTCTGCTATGTAACACAAGCTGGCTTTGAACTCGCTGCAGTACTCCAATCTTTGCCTCTCCAATACTTAGACTTCAGGCTTGTACCATCATGCCTGGCTTTGCTTTTTTGTCCTTTGATCACCCTTTACTCTGTTTGGAGACTCGTATTTGTCCCTTATTGGAATCTTGTACACTACATAATCTCCATTGTAATGCTACTTTCTCTTAAACTCCACTCCTAGTCTCTGAAGCAGAAACCACAGCCTTGCTAGCATTTTATTTATATTATAAAATTTTCCAGGGCCAGCCTTACAATGGATGGAATACTTGCCTATTGCGTTAGACTGAGAATACTATGAAAGCAACAGCTACACCTGCTCAATTCAGATCAACAAATAAGTGTCTACTATGTCGTCACCAGAAGAATTCTGCTTTTAAAATGTTAAGAATCTGCTAGAAGAGATAGGATGCTAATTCAAAGATCTCAATGACAATGAGCTTCAAGGGTGGGGTGCCATGAGGGAATAATTCCAAAGGAAAACTTAATGGAGGACAAAAAGTTGAACTGGACTTTGAAGAATGACCAGGTGGTTCCAGTGAGTGGGTGATTCAAATGCTCACATCACGCATTCCCACTACACAGGTCCAGCCATTAGACCCGAACATCCCCTGTTCCTGGGCAGTGCTTGCTGCCTAGTTTGCAGCAGTGTAGAAGTGAACTAGCTATACTGAGATAAGTTGGTGCTCTGTCTAAGGCCATACCACCCTAACCACACCCAGTCTCATCTGATCTTGGGAGGAGCAGCACAGTTAGTAATTGGGTGGGAGATGATCTTGTGCATAGCCGGGAATGAGGAACGGACACTCACATCTGTAACATTGACAACTCCTATTTGTGGAGCTGACAAGTCGATGTCAAACGTCTTCTCCCAGTATGGGACCAACTGTGGAGAGAACCAAATACGTCAACTTAATAGAGGTCAGGAATACATGAGTCCAGCAGAGGATAAGAGTCAAGTCAGGGATAAAAGGAGGCAGGATGAATTGGCAATGGATGGAGGAACAGCCCAGCCGTGCACCACAAGCTGGTGGGTAAGGCTAATCAGCAGAAGAGTAGGAACCTCAAAGGAAACAGATGAGGAAGGCAGCTTCCCCCTTCAGAGGAGATCAGCAACCCTGCTTTGTTCTTGGGTCTGCTTATGATTGGCCATGTACCTTTGGCAACTCATTTCTCTCTGCAGAGCCCTCAGTTTCTTTATCTCTTATTAAGACTTATTATTTTTACTTATGTGTGGTTTGTGTGAGCATTTACCACATGTGTGCATACCTTTAGAAGAGTATGTGAGCTACTGGGTAGCTACAAGACATGGATGGGTGCTGAGAACTGAACTCCAGTCCTCTGGGAGAACAGCACATGCTCCTAACCTCTGAGCCATCAGGCCAGCCCAGCTCCTATGTGTCTTAAGTACTTACACCTGGCAATCATCAGTATTCTGTCAC